TATTACGAAACAATACGGTAAGTTGTCATTTGTTTTTATCTTGTATATTTATGTTTTACTTCGAAAAGACGCTAATGAAACTCGAGTTACAACGCAATATTGGTGGCTATTGTGTTGCCGTAGGAGCAGCTATCGAAATACAAAACGATACAGTAATGTTGAGCAAATTCTTAATTATGCATATCGAATCTTTATTATTCACAGACACTAATGAACTTGGATCTTAGTGGTCAAGAAATCAATCCGAAAGGAGCAGAACATCTAGCAAATGCCTTGCAAAGTAACAGGGTGAGTTCTCTTATTAACTCTTTTACTTTCTTGTCTATTCATCTTCGTCACATTTACAGACACTACGAGCATTGAATCTTAGTTACAATGAAATTGGTGCTAGAGGAGCACAATATTTGGCCATTGCCTTGCAAAAGAACAAAGTGAGCCTATTGATTTATCATAAATGTCTACACATCTTTCTGTGTAATAGACACTAACTAAGTTGGACCTTCTTGGAAATCATATCGGAGACAACGGATCACAATATCTGGCTGATGCATTAATGAATAACAGAGTCTGCTGATTAGTTTTTAGACTTCTCTCATGTTTATCTATTTATTTTTGTAGACACTGACTACTCTAGGTCTTCGAGATAATAATATAGGAGACATGGGTGCACAACATTTAGCGAGAGGAATACGAAATAACACCGTGAGTGTCATTTTGTTTTATATCTCTTTCATATTTCTATATATTTAATACTTTGATAGACACTCTGCACAGTCGATCTTCGTTGTAATGCAATTGGAAAGGAAGGAATAAAACATCTAGCTGATGCTTTGCAAACTAACCAAGTAGTTATGATTATTTTGTTGCTTAGACTATATTTATTTTATTTATTTTCGTTACAGTCACCTCCTACAGTATATTTACAAATGAACGAAATGTTGGCAGAGAAAGAACATATTTTACCTAATGCATTACGAATCAATAGAGTGAGTCTCATGATTATTAAAAAATGTTTGAATGATTGTCGTTTCACTCTCATAGACATCAAGGACACTGCACTTTGATGATACACAATTTCGAGATGATTCCGAGAAACAAATTGCAAAATTTGTCTGGTGAAATAATATGTGAACACCACAACAGTAATAATTGATTGATCATTGTAAAAATGTCAGCTTTTTCTATTCAATAAAAATTGGATATTAAATCAGATATCAGTACCATTACATGTTATTACAAACCATCAAATCACATATCCGTAATTCCGAATCAGAAATTGTCGTTTTCACAGCAACAAAAATTGTTCGTGCTAATAATATGACACAAATACACAATCTAATCGCTCAAATTAACACTTCTATCGATTTCTTCTTTCATTAACTATTCATTAGTGTGCAGAAATCTTAAATTCTATCGGAGCTTTCGACGTAAAATATTAGAGTAACATCGAAAGTATTCATTGTGGTGACAACAAGGACTTGAGTACGACAGACAAAAGCCCATTCTGTAACAAGACGAGATATCAGTGGACGTTGATAATCAGTGCTATTCGAGAAATATTTTTCAACGACGTTAAATGCATTTTTCCAAAATTTGACGAGCAGAACTTTGATGTAGAAGTGGCGACAATGGTTTCAATTCTGCGTCGCAAACAAATTCGAAACCTTCTTCTATTAGAGGGCATAGGTGTGGCTGTGAGATGTAGGTGGAATAAGAGAAAATTGCTCAAATAAAAATTTTTTATTGTATTTTATTATAGTGATAGTCAAACACCATAAATTCAACGTCAAGAAACATAATAGCGAAAATGAACGAAAAGAAAAAGTGAATTTAGACATTTTATTTTGCTTTTCCTGATTGCATAAAAATCGCATTACCCTGTTAGATAGTTAAAGAAGTCGCCTTACAATATTCAGATATCTCATCATTACTTGAATTAATTGATAATCAATTATTACCAATTAAAGGATAAATATGATGTAAGATAAATTTTATATCTCGATTCGCTACTATCATCATTTATCAGAACAGTAAGTTATTTAAAAAAATAATTTTTTTTTTTGGAATTAGAAACAAAATAGAAGAAAAATAATTATTCGATTTGGTTTGACTGATAGATAACAGAGATGTTCCTTCGCGAATGATTCTTTGGTTAGGATTATCTTCTGATACAATAATTTATAGATCTTTTAAAAAATGGCTTAATCATAAAACTAGTCTTCTTATTTTTAGGTTTCTGATAGAATTTGACTTGATGAGAATATAGCAATATGAAGGAGTGACCTAATGATATTCAAAGTTTAAAAAATCCAATGCTATTTTTCCTTGGTATGAAGAGAAAATATATGTTCTTGTTACATACTCCAAAAATAATCACTAGAACGAAGCCTGTAGTTGATTAAAGAAATTCTTATTTGTTATTGTCTTAGATTATTTTCAAATATGTCTCCTTCGGACAAGATTCTCATAAGTAGTAGAGAATATTCGATTAATATTAATGAAATATGAGTTTTTATATGAAATTTTTCAAGCACCATTTGGCTTTTTTTAACAATTATCCTTGAGACTGATGATGTGTCAATCATTATCATTAATAAGAAATACCAAGCTATATTGAATGCGTCTCCCTTCTATTGCATAATATTAAGATAATATCCATCATTAGACGTCTACGTTTATAGTATTGCGCGGTGAGACATCGATTATATATCAAAATGTAACCTCTTATTTGTTATTCTTTTCATTTTTTTCTTTCCGGCCATTTAGATATCCATTAGTTGTCTCTTTCTATAATTGAAGATGCACTCAAGTAAACTCCTATCTATACAATGTAAAAAAAGAAATCGTTTTTTGTCATGAACAAAAGTAAGTATGAGAATAGATTTATTCAGCGAGTCGAACGTATTATCTTTGTTTTTTCTTTGTTATAAATAAATAAATATGTAATTATATAAATATCATTAGTGAGATGTAAACTTCAAAAAAATAATAATAATAAATGGTATAAGATATTTTTTGCGTTCATAATAGGAAGACAATAGAATAGTTTTTCTTTTGATGCAAAACCTCGATTAAATATCATCTATGATGTGTATTTCCAAAGATGCTATTCGATTGAGTCGCTTTTATATTCTAAACAGAAAGTAAGTTGTGTGAAATGTTTGTGAATCAGACAATCCATAAACTTTAACAGTTTGAGCAAAATATGATATGTTTTCCATCAATTTGAAAAAATGTGTTCACCATGATTTATTTTTGGAATAGAATTTCATACAGTAGTGTTCATTGATCTAGCAAAGAAATAGCCGACTAGTGGGTTGTGAGTGCTACTCGTTTTTGAGAGGATATTTCGTCTGCGTAGCAATTGAACATGCATACTGAACAGTATGAGACCATAGTTCAGATTTCAAATATTACAAGCATAGCTCTGTGTTTTTTCTTACATGGCTCCCATTTCTTAATTGTTTATAAACATTACATATCTCTAATAGCATTGAACTCTTCTCTAATCATTCCAAAGTTTACTGTGCTTGTCTTCTATCTTACTCTGATTGAATCTGTTCATCACAATTTATCTAAGTCAGTGTTTCGAGCACATTTAATAGTAGTTATCGATTTATGTATATAGGACTTTCTGTTTTTTTTTCATAATACCCACGTTTAACTGCTTCTGTGAAAATTTATTATAATCATCGATAGGGAAACTAACAATGAAATAGGCCGATCAGTTGACATTTCAAATATGGTTGTTATCAATCACTTTATATTATCAAGTGGGAGAAAAACATATGTTGTCATTTTTTTTCTAAATGCCAGCTACCATTCTTTTGGATAATTTTTGATCTTTGAAGCTATCGTATTTGACCTTTCACCATTAGATAAATATTTTTCGTTACTTTTCATAGAGATTTAGACTCAAATTACATCATAATGAAGCCGGGAGGATTCTGTACCCGTGATAAATTTGCCAGTTCGTTCTTTCACTGTTTCGAATACGATAATTCCATATAATCTGGAGTTTTTGTCACGAATGTAGGACTCTCTCCAGTACATTTAGACATTAGTTGAGGCTAGGTCTTTATGAAGACTAAAGACAAATATTTATTTAATGGTAAAAAGTCGAACTTGATAACGTAAAAAGATCAAAAGTTATTCAAAAAATGTTGGTTACCATGTAAAAAAAATGATAATAGTGTTAATCGTTTCTTTTATACTTACGTGTTACGAAAACGTGACTGAAATAATCTTTTTAACTGTCAATGAAATGCTATATAATCTAAACAAAATTTATCGCTTGGGTTAAGAAGTCCTTGTCAATCCGATCATAGAACAAACAAGAAAAAAAAGAAACGAATTGATAAGTACATAAGTCTTGAGATATTTTACTACTTAGTTAATCGAAAGATTATTTAGTAAAATCGTGTTTGTCGGTTCGTTTAGTTATTCGTCTTTTTGTTTTCATTATAAAATTAATTGTCTGAGATAAATATTTGAGCAAGAATATACTTGGTACAACGAAATATTATATTATTGTAAAATAAGAGAAATAAATAATACTAGAGAAAAATGTTGCCAATAAAAAACAAACTTTGGTGCCTTTCTTTTTTTTTATATGGGCATAGGCTTATATCTATGCATATACTTTTTACATTTTATCCTTCAATTTCTCCAGCTGCGTAAATTTCTATTTCATTCTATGTTACATCACATGACATTTTGCAAAGAAATAATGAATCTTGATAAAATGAATAATACAAACCGGTTTCGTTTGAATTAGAACGAGAAAAAAAGTAACTTGACTAATGTTTTAGACCCAAGTATAGTTTATTCATGAGAGAAAAAAAAGAAACAGAACAATAAAAAGGAGCAAATTACAGTATTATATAAAGCAATCGTATCGATTAAGACACTGTATCATAATGATAATCTTATCAAGTTTTATTTTAATTACGTTCCAATATATTTTAGATCATAATCTCAAATATTCAACAAATTTCTTGATGACACCATCGAAAAAGCGTTCTATACGATTCCCAAGATTCACATGTTGGCATTCATTATTACCAGCATTTTCAGCTCGAATAATAATTGCACTTCGTACTCTTATAGGTATTGCGGTAAGTAAATAATACAAAAAAAAGTTTGTTCTAGATAAAAATCTGTCGTTCTTTTAAATATAGGGCGTTGCTGGATTTACTCTTTCACCTATAACATCTCATTCAATACAAGGTCAACTTCTATTTGGTATTAGTTTCATAGTTGCAATAAAAAGTACACTTGGTTCAACAATTCAAACAGCTATTCGTTTATTTGTTGCTGGTGCTATTTCTGCTACGTATTGTCTTTTCATTGTTAATTTTTGTCCACGTAATGTTTATTTTGGTATTGGTGCAACCAATGTTCTTGTTCTTCTTATTGTTTATACGGATTTACCAGTAACTGTTCGTCGTTTTACGATTATACCAACATGTATTATCCTATTACAATGGTTTACTAAATCATATATAAATACTTTTTATGTACTTCAAATTTGGGCATCATTAACCATTGGTGGTACATTAGCCGTTATTGTTACATGTATTCCATTACCAGTTATACCAACTGCTTATCGTGAATTAACAATGCGTATGAGATTTATAGCTCGACAAACAAGACGTGAAATAACAGCTATTGTTTTACTTATATCAGAATATCATAATGTATATTTAAGTGATGAATCTGATGATCAAAATTATCAAAATAAGGAGAAAACGAATACTTCAGATGATAATGATAATGGTATTGAAATGCCATCGAATTCTTATCGTGCAGATGATTTTTATCAGCGTTCAATATCACTTGAAGATTTAAAAGATGATCATTTACTTAAAAGTGATATACAAGATTTACATTCATTAGTTAATGATGAAGTAAAACAAATGCAACGAGCTTTAACTGAAATATCATATGAACCATATTTTATATTATTGAAATATCTTAATCGAATAAGAAGATTCTTACGACATATTCCATTTTTAAAAAAATTCATCAAACCAGATTCAACACTTGAAACCCGATTATCAGTATGGACAACAAGTTTTGCTGCTATACAACGACAAATTACTGAATTATTAACATTAGAGCAACATCATCGTGCATTTGTTGGTAAACGACAATTGATTAATGTAAGGCTTTTTTTTTGTGTAACTATACATGATAAATCCATGTCGCATTACTGAGTAGAGTTTACTTCAGAATTTGTCTATCATTATAGAACTTATTAACATTTAAAGCTCAAAGCTAAGAAAAACATATAAATAATTAGCAATAGACTTTTCGATATAAAGTTGAATTTTTTTTTTTGTAGGCAATATGTCTTCTTCTTGATTCAACATTTAATTTTTTGGATTCAACACTTCCATATACGACAGCATCAACTAGTTATTTTAATAAAGCTAAAGCTATTGCTTGTCGAACACAAGTTGAAGAAGCACTTGAAGATTTTTTTGAGACATATACACAAGTACGTGAAAATCCACGTCATTCAACAATGTCAAATACAGATGCAATTCGTTTAAACACATTTCTTCTACTTATCTTACGACTTGTACATGCAACTGTAACTGCTGCTGAAAAAAGTAAAACTCCAGGTGCTCATTTTGATACTGATCTAGATTCAACAACAAATGTAACTAAATCAAAAAAATCATTTGACTGGAAAAAACCGTTTCATGATCTTGCTGCTTATATTGGCATACGACCATCATTCGGTAAATTAGTACGTTCAATAAAAACAAGTTTAAGTGTACTTGTGTCTGCTGTTGTTGTTATTTCATTTCGTGAACGTTTACAAGCATATGATTGGGTTCATTGGGCACCGATGACAACAGCACTTGTTTCTGAATCATCTGAAGGTGGTACACTTCGTTTGTCATTTCATCGTTTAATGGCCGTGTTACTTGGTTCAACTTATGCATATGTTATTGTACTTGTTACACAAAATCATATTGCTGTTGGAATATGTATTTCTTTATTTGTTGGACTAATGGGTTATCTCAAAACAGATCCAAGACGAGAATATTTTGCTACTGTTTGTGCACAATCAGCATCGATTATAACATTTCTTTCGAATCGAAAAGGACTAACGGCTGCATCAAATCAAGCTGTTTTAGCTCGAACAAGTTTAACATTTTTAGGAATATTTATACATGTTATTATTTCTAATCTTCTTCTACCAATAACAGCTCGTGCATTAATTAAGAAAAAGGTAATCATTTTTCTATATTATTTAAAAATAAAAATAAAAAACAAATGAAATCAATCTTTTATTTATCATATTTAGGTATCAATCATGATTAAAAATGTATCTGTTGCATTAAAATCATCAACGGATAATTTTTGTGCATTCATTGATCCAACAATAGTACGAGAAGAAAATACAGATACAAATAAAACACCGTTTAATTTAATGAAAACTCTAGCAGAAACTGAACGTATTTCAGATAGTTTTCCAGCTTTACTTAACGAAGCATTAAGTGAACCAAATTTTTGGAAACGACCATTTATACAAGTTAAAGATCGTTATGATGGCATATCGAAATCTTTACGTCGAATAAGTGCTGATATTCGTTTTGTTCATCGATGTACAACAATACTTGAAGCTGAATCAAAATTACATTTTGCTCAAGAAGCAAAGTAATTAATTTAAAATATTTCTTATTATTAACGAAAACAAAAAATGTTTAATCATTTTTAGATGGCAAATGCGTCGAGCAAGTCTTGTTCCTACTAATCCTGGCATGGATTCTAAACCATCTCATTCATTGACAACAAGAGAATTACGTAAAGAACAAAAATTACAAAATGATCTTGATATACCTTTAACAATTTTCATGACCTATTCTCCACAATCAGCACCAAGATTTGAACAAAAAACTTTAATATCAATTAATTCATCAGCATCATTTCGTTTAGCTCATACAACCTTATATCAACCTGTACTTCAACATATTCATACACTTGAAAATCATATTCAAAAAGTTTTATCTTTAACAGGACAATTAATTGAAAAACAAGCAGCTGTTGATGTTGGATCATTTGAATTACATCAATTATGTCAAGAAGATTCATATGATGAACAACAAATAAAACTTTTAAAAACTCAAAGAACTTTAAATCGTGGTCCATCATTTTATGCAGTACCAGAATTTGAAGCATTACCATCAATTACAAATTATTATAAATTGTTTTCTTGTTGTAAAAATTCACAAAAAGATTATGAACCATTGCCATCATTACGTAATGCTGTTGATTTAATGTTTGCATCATTAATACAATTTCTTTCTGCTAATAATCGTTTTATTCGTACCGAATTTGTATCAAATCAATCGATTGGTGATGTTTTAGCATTTCATACATTATCGTATGCATTAAGAGATATGGTTGAAGCAACAACTGATTTAGCAAAACATGCTCGACGTATTAAACATATTCATAGACGAACATTAATACAAAAAGAATGAGAAGAAAATATTCTACAACAACAGACAGCTTAGTTAAAAACAAAGAATGTTTCCATAATAATTATTCTTGTAATTTTTTCCTTTTCAAGTCATAAATTTATTCCTTATATTTAGAGGTTTTAACATAGTTACAGACCTCTCTTATACATATATATATATACATACAAAAATCTTTATTTTATTTCAGCAATGAATAATATTGATCTACTATTGTTACAAATATGTGAGACCATTTAAATATTCTCTAACGTACTCATTTCTATATATTTCGCCTCTTGTTATCTGAAGAAAAAAAAATTAGAGAAAATTAATAACTGATTATAACATAGTTTTGCATTTTTTCTTCGTTTATAATGTGCAGTCCAATAGGATAACATATATTTTATGTAGAAACTAACGAATAATCTAGAGTTTGTTCATTATCATTNAGCAAAAAAAATTATTAAGTATGAATAGACTTTTCAATATAAATTTGAGTTTTTTTTTTTGCAGGCAATATGTCTTCTTCTCGATTCAACATTTAATTTTTTGGATTCAACACTTCCATATACAACAGCATCAACGAGTTATTTTAATAAAGCACAAATAAGTACTTGTCGAACACAAGTTGAAGAATCACTTGAAGATTTTTTTGAGACATATACACAAGTACGTGAAACTCCTCGTCATTCAACACTGTCAAATACAGATGCAATTCATTTAAATACATTTCTTCTACTTATTTTACGTCTTGTTCATACAACTATAACTGCTGTTGAAAAAAGTAAAATTCCCGGCGCTCATTTTGACACTGATCTAGATTCAACAACAAATGTACCCAAATTGAAAGAACCATTTAACTGGAAAAAACCGTTTGATGATCTTGCTGCTTATATTGACAAAAGACCATCATTCGGTAAATTAGTACGTTCAATAAAAACAAGTTTAAGTGTACTTGTGTCTGCTATTGGTGTTATTTCATTTCGTGAACGTTTACAAGCATATGATTGGGTTTATTGGGCACCGATGACAACAGAACTTGTTTCTGAATCATCTGAAGGTGGTACGCTTCGTTTATCATTTCATCGTTTAATGGCCGTCTTACTTGGTTCAACATATGCATATGTTATTGTACTTGTCACACAAAATCATATTGCTGTTAGAATATGTATATCTTTATTTGTTGGACTAATGGGATATCTTAAAACAGATCCACGAAGAGAATATTTTGCTACTGTCTGTGCACAATCAGCATCAATTATAACATTTCTTTCTAATCGAACAGGACAAATGAATTCATTAAATCAAGCTGTTTTAGCTCGAACAAGTTTAACATTTTTAGGAATATTTATACATGTTATTATTTCTAATCTTCTTCTACCAATAACAGCTCGTGCATTAATTAAAAAAAAAGGTAATCATTCTTTTATGTTATTTAAACCAAAAAAATAAAAACGAAATCAATCTTTCATTCATCATATTTAGGTATCAATTATGATTAAAAATGTATCTACTGCATTAAAATCATCAAGTGATAATTTTTGTATATTTATTGATCCATCAATAACACGGCAAGAAAATATGCCATCAAATAAGGCTCCATTTAATTTAATGAAAACTCTAGCAGAAACCGAACGTATTGCAGATAGTTTTTCAGCTTTACTTAACGAAGCATTAAGTAAACCAAATTTTTGGAAACGACCATTTATACAAGTCAAAGATCGTTATGATGGCATATCAAAATCTTTACGTCGAATTAGTGCTTATATTCGTTTTATTCATCGATGTACAACAATACTTGAAGCTGAATCAAAATTACATTTTGCTCAAGAAGC